ACTGACACAGACAGACAGACAGACAGACAGACACACACACATATATATATATATATATATATATATATATATATATATATATATATATATACTTACGTGTTAATACCCTTGGGAAAGGTATGAATCCTCTTCTTCTCCCGCAGCTATGGCTAAATAGCAGGACAGACTGGGTTCTATAGACTTGGATGGCGACTGGTCTAGGAGAAAAACAACTCTCAATTAAAAAACATGTGGAGGGTCGTTTGGGGACCCTGTGGCACGTAGTGCACCAGGTCACTGTATTCGGCCCTTCAAAAACTGTGGATGGTCCTGCACGAAACCCTTCACCACTATAATCAAATCTCATGTGCTGTTGTCGGGGCTGTCGGTTTCTGGGGAACTGATCTGCTTGACACTCATAAATCGAATTCGACGGGAGAGTCGATATATATATATATATATATATATATATATATATATATATATATATATATATATATATATATATATATATATATATATAAAAGGCTGTTTAACCAATACAATGACTGACCAAAATTAACGATAAAAAAAAATGAAAACTACAGGTAAAGTTCACTTTCTTCAGAGACGGTCATTCACTGCTACTAACAAGCAGGGATTTCCCCCCGTCGTGATGATGACCATGCTGGCTGTAAGTAGTCGAGGAACCTAATTGAAATAATAAAACAAAAACTATTCCTACACAAACAAGTGTGTCTGAAATTTTAAAGTTTTGAATATTTATTACTATTGAAAACATATAATCACACACATGAGCGCGCACACACACACATGCATATATATATATATATATATATATATATATATATATATATATATATATGAAATCTATTTGATTTTAATGGCGAATATATATTCTTAGTCTACGTCTATTCACAAATGTTTCTGTGCAATATTCTTTATTTTTAACAAAAGTTCTATTCAATATATTTTTGTATTTTGTGAATAGTATTTTTCCTTTCAGTATTTTTTTACAAATTATTTTACTTTCTTGTTAGAGCTTTTTGAAATCTTGCATCAAATTCTTGTTCCTATAGATTCTGCTTTCGGCAAGCAATATGGTCGACTGCCTCATCAAATGATATAAAGCCGTTTTACTTTACAATATAAGATATTGTCTCCCTGGGAAACGACATGAGATTGGTGGATCTTTCAATGTTCCAAATATACACAAATGTGGCCCACCAACTTTCGAGATCTTTTACAGTTGAACGACCATTTCTTGCGACTCCGTAGACAAATTACCATCTGGTTCTATACCGCAAAGATTTAACTGGCATTAAGCAAATAAATAAGGAGATATTAATACATTTGGCCTCAAGACAAAACCTGTCTGCTGTTTTAAAACACACTGTTATATCTCTTAAGCATTGATATCGAGATTATGGAGCGTAGCTTATTCCACTATTCTTAGATGATCGTAAGTTTGTTCTTTAACAGGTTTTGCTTTTAATCCTACTGGTGTCTAATCAGACATCAAGAGAAAAGGTAGTGCCGGAAATAATACGAGATAACACGACTAGGTGGAACTAACTTGATATTGAGCAGAGATTAGCCCATGATAAAAGAAAATAAAATCAAGAAAATAGGATAGGAGGGATATATAGCAAGGAGAAAGAATAGCAGATGGAGTAATAGAGTGTGTTGTTGGGCTCTCCCCTTTTTACATAAGATGGACTCGTCCAAAGTATACTTATACTGACAGAGAGAATACCTGCTGGTTGAGATACGTTGAGATAGAGTCTCTTTCTGCTTTGCCAGAGAGGACCCCGGACAAAACCTTGCCCTTCGAGGTAGATAGGCCCTGAACCAAGTTTAGGCGGGTTCAAAGGGTATATTTTTGGCCGACCCTACGGGCTCGGAGAAATTAAAATTAAATACTGAGATACGTTGAGATACGTTGAAACAGGTTGAGACAGACACAGGGTGTTATCAGAGAGTTATACAAGAGTCCAGAGAGAGAGAGAGAGAGAGAGATGATTACGGCTTTACTTACAGAGACTTGTACATATACTTTCTTCTAACCCGCATTCCTGGACCACTAATCTTCACTTCAAGTCTGTATTCTTACGTTTAATACACTTATTTTTCTATTTATTACAACGTTTCGGCCGTTGTACGCTCCGGCCTTCTTCAGGTAGTCGGAATGTCGAACTTAACCCTTTATTTCGCTCACTGGGGTAGACTGTTCTAGTTCCTTAAGGACATATGACACAGTGGATAAAGGCGTTGGTTAGATCCAGTGACAGGACCCAAAGTGTGTGAGTTCAATACCCGGTTAAAGCAGCGGAGAACTTGGAGAGGGAAAATTAACAGGAGATAACTGATAACAGACATACATTAAACATGGTAGGTGAAACTAGAACAGTCTATCCCAGTGAGCGAAATAAAGGGTTCAGTTCGACATTCCAACCACCTGAAGAAGGCCGGGCGTACAACGGCCGAAACGTTGTAATAAATATGGCGAAAAAGATGAGGACAATAGTCCGAATAATGTAAATAGTGTAAATCTCTTTACATCTGCTTTTCTGATAAGTTTGACATTTCAACCACCTGAAGAAGACCGGAGCGTACAACGGCCGAAACGTTGTAATAGATATGGCGACAAAGATGAGGACAATAGTCCGAATAATGTAAATACTGTACATAATACCTCATCTCAGAAATATAGACATATTTCAATGGGGTTTTATAAGAACATTACTATCATCATAGTTATTTACATTATTTACATTGTTTGGACTGTTGTCTTCATCTTTATTATCGTATTCACGCTGTTTCGGCCGTTCTGCGTTCCGGCCTTCTTCAGGTGATTAGAATTTCGAAACGTCGTGAATATGACAATAAAAATGGGGACAACAGTACGAACAATGTAAATAATTGCAATACCCCATCCCAGAAATATAGACAGATATCATTATAGTTCTAATAAACATTTCATCGTCGCTATCTTTATCCCTGAACCTCACAACAACGGTTGCTGCTGTTGATGATGATTAAATAAAGAGGTATACATTACTAAAATGGGTGTCAGTTTAGTTGCAGTATGTTAATACCTTAATATATACAGCAGAGTATACAAGATTATCTTGCTTTAGTCGGAATCCATTCTAGGAAGAGTGAAACTTTGAGTTCAAACCTTCCACTTCTTTGCGTCTATCTTCGTGAGAAAAGAAAGCTAAGGAATAAATACTATACAGATCTACAGTCAGTCAGTTATGTGCCGTGCGTGATACACACATATCTTTTGATAAATGACTGGCGAGGCAGATTTTTTTCCCGCAGTAGGTTGCCATTTCTTTCTCCGGTAGACCAGTTGCCCTCTAAGGCTATAGAACCCGGTTTGTCCTGCTTTTTACTCATAGCTGGAGGGAGAAGAAGAGGATTCATAGCTTTTCCAAGGGTATCAGCACGTAAGTGAATGTAATGGCTTCGATTGGAACTCGGGCTCGGCTCTCCGATTCCTTAATAAAGTCCCTAAATCGGCTGGACGATATACTATACTAATTCCAGTTACTCCTATAGATTCCCCGGTATCAGACTATGCATTTAATTTTTTTTTTACTTTTGACTCTACATTAAGCGCTTAGATGTGAGTCTTGACGTATAGATAGAGCAACTTCTTCTGAAGACGGGGCGGGGGACATAGAGTTCTGCGCTATGCAATCGTCTTCCGGCACGCTTTCTGACAAGCTTCAGCTCGGTTAACTTATCTTAAAGCTTTCTTTCATAAGTCCCTACTGAATTTAATAACATAACCAAGATTACCTTGACCAATATATGTTTGAAGCGGACTAAGGTGCATTTACCTTAAGGTAAGGTGATTTTATTTTTGTCATTTATTTATTTTTATTATTTTTTATATTTAACTCTGACAAAAAAAAAAAAGGACGAAGGAAAAACAGGAGTATAATCGGTAAAAGCAACATTTTCTTTTCTTGAATTCAGGACGTCGCTATGACATTTGAGAGGTTTTCTATCAATCAATGTCATCTTGCTAAAGAAAAAATCAATTCGAAAACTTATTAGGCTCCAAGATAATTAGCAATCATACGTATAGAATAATTAACGCGCGCGTTGTTCAAAGCATCTTCAAAGAAAGATAGCAGTAAAGAGTCATGGATAGAGTTTTAAGTAGCATCCTTAATGAAACTTTTCGTATCATTATTATTTTACCCTCATTAAACACACAACCAACATCATCGCAACGGGGTTCACTAAGTACATTATTATCATCATAGTTGAAATAAACATTTAATCATCGCTGCCTTTATTGCTGACTCTATGTTAACGAACCATTCATGTAATTCTTAATATCCTGGCAAGGACGTTTTCAACAAATACATCAAAACATTTATTCACTGTAATGATTACAGTGAATTTGCTCAAGCTCGGAAGCGAGGTTATTCTAAGGGAACTGCAAATCTTAACAGTTTATTACCAGTTGGCGTTACCTTAACAATAAAAGATACGCAGATAACACTGTTGATGGCATGCAGACACGCAAAGAAAATTGCAGGATCTCCTAGACAAGAAAGTAAAGAAAAGTGAGAAGAAAGGACTAACCATCAAATCTATATAGACAGAATGTGTGGTCATTTGCAAGAAAAAAAAGAGCAAGATGCGTACTACAAATCAGAGATGTCAAAAACTGTGAAGTGTTTTAACAGAAGATGCAAAATTCGACACTGAAATCAGAACTTCCATCGGATTAGCGAAAGATTGTATTTCAGGAAGTAAAATAAATAGTAAGAAACAGGAAAATTGTGTTAAAAAAAAGAAAAGGTGAATGAATAATTGAACAGGGTATGGGACGCTCCGACGTAGCCCATTTGGTGGCGCTGATTCGGCGTGGACCATTCGGCGTAGCCGATATGACGTAGGAATTTTTTGGCAGAGGACGATTCGGCGTAGCCGATATAACAGGAATGTTTTAGCAGAGAACGATTAGTTGTCAGATTACTACTTTGTCCTTATAGTCAAATTTACTATCTATCTATCTATCTATCTATCTATCTATCTATCTATCTATCTATCCCAGTTTGTTCATGGGCTGGCATCCCGCTCTCACACTTTCACTGTCGAAACTGCTAAATGTAGCCGTCTCTTCTACTCCAATAGCACCTCTCACCCGTGGAACTCCCTTCCTTATTCCAGTTTTCCTGAGAGCTATAATCTCCAACTTTTCAAATGTAATGTCAGTCGACATCTCCAGTTGCCTTGATCTATCCACTATCCTTCTCATCCTTTCCTCTATCACTCCTATCTGATCTTGCTCCAAATCTTCTGTAACCCCTTGCGTCCTAGTGGCTTCCCGCCTAGCTTGGGGTGAAACACTTAAAAAAAATGTGTCTACATTCCTTTCTATTCATATATATCTATATATCTACCTATATTCCATTCTATTCATATCTATCTATCTATCTAGCTAGCTAGCTATCTATCTCTCTCTTTTTATATATATATATATGTGTGTGTGTGTGTGTGTGTGTATGTGTGTATGTATTCCTGTCTGATCATGTGTATCTATCTATTTATTCCAGTTTGTTCATATGTATCTATATTCCAGTTGATCATATGTATCTTTTTAGCTACCTATATTCCACACTATCTATCTATCTATCTATCTATCTATCTATCTATCTATCTATCTCTCTCTCTCTCTCTCTCTCTATATATATATATATATATATATATATATATATATATATATATATTAATAAATATACATAGTATCTCACATCTTAGGCACGAATCTGATTTTCATGAGCGACACAATCATAGGGTGCAGAATTTAAATGTTTGTTTTACTGCTTCAATCAAAATATATCTGGCTATCAAGACGCTGATGTGGTGATACTTAATGCTGCAGGTGTTTAATATCGAAACTTAAAAATAGTAAAGTTAACAAAAATATGTGGGAGATAAGAAAGGCAAGAAGAAAATTATATTATTCAAGTATAATGGTTGTCATAAACCATAGAGCAAGTTTTATGCAATATTAAATATGTTAGAAAAAGGGGTCAGTTACCCTAACAAGATTTAGATAATTTTAATAAATCTGTGTAATTTAAACTATCTATCAACTCTAGCAATAAGGAAATCTGTTGATGTGGCTGAAACAAAACATACAAAGGCCTTAGAACTAAGCCTCCATAAAGGAAGTTTAGATTACATGTACTTAAACAAAGGGAATAGGAAACGTAAACACCGTAAACGCAACATCATATGGTTCAATCCTCTTTTCAGTCGATTGTTAAAACTGACAATGGCAGATTTTTCCTAAACTTAATTAATAAGAACTTCAACCATTCACCTACACTCAAATAGCTCTTTAACCGGAACAATATTAAAATTAGCTATTCATACGTTAATAACGTAGACGTACCCATCACCCACTATGACAATTTTATGCTAAACAAACATTTTCCCAAATAGAATTACACTAATATCTCTGTAAGTAAATGCAACTGCCGAAGAAATACGATATGCCCACTAAATGATTAATGTATGACCGACAACATTATATACAGATCGGATATTAATTCCGATAACGGTGTTAAATTCTACTTTAGTTCCACAGAAAATCTTTGGAAATTGCGTTTTTGCTATCACAAAATGAATTTCAAAAACGTAAAATATAAACATAACAATGCTCTCTCTCTCTCTCCCTCTCTCTCTCTCTCTCACTCTCTCTCTAAATATTTCTAGCAATTGGAAGATAATTTCACCATCTATTAAATGGGAAATTGTTCTAGGGCCAAGGCGTTTAACAGGAAAGGCGATAGGGGTTGTCTTTGTTCAGCTGAAAAACTGGTTGTCCTAAAAAATTAACAACCTAAATTATTGAATCAGAGGAATGAAATAATATCTTCTTGCAGACACAAAAATAAACAACTTAAATACACTACTCCAGCTCTTAAAAACCTTTATTAATTATTTTCTATTTTTTCTATTTTTTAAGTATATTATATATATCACTTTTTATTTACCTTTCTTTGTTGGTCATTATAATTACCCGACTTTGACCATTATATTTTTATACTCCATTTTATTCATTTTTTTTATTTTTCTATTTTATCATATTTCAAATTTTATTTTCATACTTATAATTTTATTCTCTTCTTTCTTTTCTAACACTTATTTTTGTTAACTTTACTATTTTTAGGTTTCAATATTAAAAACCTGTAACATTAAGTGTCATGACAGCAGCGCCTTGATAGCAGATATAAATTTGATTCAAACCGCGCAGGAATATCAGAGTCATGCTTGAGTTGTGAGAGTATATATACATATATATATATATATATATATATATATATATATATATATATATATAGAGAGAGAGAGAGAGATAGAAACGTGATGAAATATAGATAAAAAGATACATATGAACAGACTGTAATATAGATACATAGGAACAAACTGGAATAGATAGATAGGTAGATAGAAACGTGATGAAATATAGATAAAAAGATGCATATGAACAGACTGTAATATAGGTACATAGGAACAAACTAGAATAGATAGATAGATAGATAGATAGATAGATAGATAGATAGATAGATAGATAGATATGAGCAGCTTGCTAGATTGGAAAATTCGTTTAGTGAAAGATGATAGATATTGAAAATTTCGTAACGAGATAGATAGATAGATAGATAGATAGATAGATAGATAGATAGATAAAAATCCTAGTGAATATTACTTATGTACATCTACCTATTTTTGCATACGTGTATACAAATGCCTATATATCTATGTGTCTGCGGTATGTGTTTCCATATATATAATTACGATTTCACTTTCATCTCATATTCTCCAACAAATACAATTCTGAATTTCTTTAGCGTTAACAACTCAAAATTACTTTTCTTTTTCTCTTTTGCTCTTTGCCTGTCACATTCGCTACGATTGTTTCCATTACACTCTTGCATCGAACTGACACGGCTTCCTCACAAAACGTCCTTTTCTTCCTTTACGGTTAGCAATTAGGTTACCTCTCACGAACAAACCCCTTATTTTTCAATTACTCGCTTTTCCAGAACCAATCAAATTTCTCCATTACTTCGTTTAATAACCATACCAAATGGCTGACATTTGGCTGTTTCTTCTAGGATCTTCTTAACATTCAACAGCGCAGGTTTTATTAAGTTTTTATCTGGATGGTGCGCATGCGTGCTACTCGAATATAGCACTGACGCATTGAATAGAGGACTGCAAATTGCTTGATTCAATCCAAGCAAAAGAGAAGCTTTGTTCATTATTCGGGTTTATAATCGTGCCTCAGGGGTTAGTTCATATCTTCGATTACTAAAGTAAGGACTATCGCCCTCAGAAGGTTAGAAAAAAATACCTACTAACCCGGTAAGAAAAAAATAATTGGTAAGAGGATATTTTTTGTTTGTTCATTTTTTTTAAATCGGTTTCACCCCAAGCAAGGCATAAAAGCCACTAAGAAACAAGAAGTTACTAGGTGTGGAAAAATTAGGAACAGAAACATTAATAATGAGCCGGAAGAGTAAAGAATAATCAGGTTGACAGTAGATTGCGATTGAAATTTTTACAGATTAAAGTTGGTTGGAAAGCATGGAGTCAGAAGGGAGTTCCACCAGTGAGAAGTGCGGAAAAGGAACCTGTCAGCACAGAATTTACGGTTGCATCTAGCCATCACAAAACTGATGGGAATCTTGATGCCAGTCTAATACTGCGCTTAAATTTAAAGTCTAATTATCATAGCAAAGAGCGCATCGGAACAATTACCATGAAAGTATTTGTAGAAAAGACACAGAGAGGCAACTTTAAGGCGATGGGAAAATGACCGAAGCCGAGCCGCCAGATCAGGACCAATAATATTGCTGATTCTTCTTTTGATTTTCATCAACGATCCCAAGGTAAAGAGCAGGGACACCGGATCATATGCGAGAGTAATATTCTATTAAAAAGCAGTAGGTAGGGTGGAGGCGACTGAATGGATTTAGAACCATGTAATTTTTTTTTATTTACTTGACAAAACTTGAATCACTTACTCTTAAGAAATACATACCAGGTGTAACAGCAAAATTGTCCAAATCGTGTAACAGCAAAATTGTTCAATTGTTAGACTGTATCTTAGAAATGATTAAAGATATCTTCCTGGAATTCTCCGAGATTTTTATAAGACTGTTGGACTGTACTTTGACCAGTAAGAATGTATAATTACTCTCCGTGCTTAACAGAAGAATCGTGATGAAATCGATCATAAACGAAAATGACATGTTCATCATTAATTAATTATATCTAATTATGGGAAGCTCATGAATATTGAAATTAAGTTCACACACACACACACACACACACACACATATATATATATATATATATATATATATATATATATATATATACATATTATTCCATGATCATATGCCAACTTATTCAAGATGATCTTCGACCTCTCTGACCTTCTAACTGTATGTCCTAGAGTAACAAGTTTCCGCACATGTTTCCCATACGATTTCATTTTCATATCTATTTCCACTGACCTTTGGACTGTCAGAGTTGACCCCCACCCCAACTCTCATGTGCCAAATGTCTTATGGATTGTGCTGGATTTTTTCTAATTGATCAAAAGATCTAACTCTAAATTGAAATGACGACCCCTCTTCCTGTTGTAACCTCCTTATCCAGTTTTCCTCTCGACTGTTCGCCTTTTTTAATTTATTCACCGTTTTCTTCATAGTTTTTAAATGGACTTTGAAGATGGAATCCAGAGTATAATGTCGATATCCTTACTAAAAGTCTGAATTATCTTTTTCCTCCCACCATTGCTCAGTTCAGAAGAGAGTATTGATGATATAAAACGATTTTAACCTGTTCATTTTCTAGATGAATAACTCAAAGTGTTTTTTAGAGATTCTTGTGACAAATGGCATCAAGATGTCTAAACATCTTATCTGAAAACCTGGAAAAAAGAAGCTTAATTAATTTATTTGCTTTTTAGATATTAAACTTTGTGTGGGATAGACAATTATGCTGTAACACGATTTGGACAATGTTGCTGTTACAGCCGGTATACTTTCCAAAAATAAACTTAATATATGTTTTATACACGA